GCGAAGCCAGCCACACCCAGAGCCACTGCCATGCAGCACTCCTTTTATTGCTGCTCAGGGAGTGAGACTGATTGCTTCCTTCCTTCCGTTGGGAAATCAGTTTCACTGTGCAGCAGGTCTCAGACAGGATTCTGTTTGTATTAATCGTGGAATAGACTAGTCAAATCTGTACAAAGAAAACACACCATTCATTGTCCTATCAAGTGCAGGTAGACAAAAATCCCTAAACCAAACCCACTGTCCTCAAATAGAATGCCACTCACAGTGACCCCGAAGGGTTTCCATGGCTGTAAGCCTTCATGGGTGCAGACTGTCCCTTCCTTTTGCACGGGAGTGACTGGTGAGTTTGAACCAGTGATCTTTGGATTCGCAGCCGAACTGTGAACCACTGCACCACGAAAGGAACTATTTGGTCTATTCAGGAATTGAATTTGTACCTCTGCTCCTCTGTCACTGAGCAATAGCTGAAAACTCTCCTTGGTCTACCCAACTGCAAACTCACTGTCATGGAGTCAGCTGCAGCACAGAGTAGAACTGGCCCGTAGCATCCAAAACATTGTGATGTTAAGACTTAACGCGTTAACCCGGTGGGGGTCTCGCCATCACTCCCACCTCTAACTGCAGGGCAGACGCTTGTGTTGTTTCTGAGAGTGGGGTCCTGGAGAGAGATTTGTCCTCTTCACTTATCCCATCCAGCAGCAGCTCATCTCCCACCCGAATGACCATGACACACCCGCTTCTTCTGCCCAGTGGCCAGACACCAGCATGGCCCAGGGAGCAGGCATCACCTCTGCTTTCACTTCTCAGTAGTACCTATGCCTCTAGACACGCGGAACGACACAAAGGCCTTTCTCTTCCAGGCTGGAACCATACCCCGTTCTGATTTGAAATGAGCAGCCTCTTGTCCTTGGAGATCTGCCATATATGAATTTCTGGAATAAAAGTAGCTCTCAGAGATTTCTGTCGGCTGTCATTTCAAAGGCAAAGTAACAAAGCCATCGTGCCAGGAGACACCTAAAGAGCTGGGTGTGTAATTATGGCACTCGATGATGCCTCCTCACAAGCTTGAGAGTGTGCCCTTTCACAGCATTGAATCCAATATTAAGTGCCATTAGTGTAGATGATAAGACAGAGAAAGGAAGGTTTGGCGCTTTTGATTTTGATTTTTTAACTCATGGCAATTTTTTTGTGACGCATGCAACTTGCTTCTTACAATAGTTAAGATTCAAACAGAACCGGAACCACAATGTGAAACAGTTATATTGGGCTAGGAGAGTGATTAGACAACTTGTGTTCCAAAAACATAAATAGCTTCAAAATGTCTTTAAACAGTAGTCATTCATTAGACTCTTGAAAATAGCTCGCTCACGCTGTTCTTCCTTTCCCAGCAGCCTTGCCACACGCAACACATTGCATAAAATGAAGGGCCACGCAGGGAAACAAACGCCCAGGTGGGCGCAGTCTTAGCCTTCACCTACATGGGCGTGAAAAGATTCCCCAGAATTGGGGTTGATGTTGGGCCGCTGCACCTGCCACCACCGATAGTCAGGCTGCCTTTAGGGGGCAGCAGAGCACCAAATAAGGTTGCCCAGGGCTCTGCTGACTAGTGGCTCCTTCTTAACCCAATCCCTCTTGAGGTCTTTGGTGGGGTCTTTACAGAGAATACCATCCACCTCCCCTTTGCCTAGCAAAACCCATCCTTTAGGCCAGTGGTTCTCAACCTTCCTAATGCTGCAACCCTTCAATACAGTTCATGTTGTGGTGACCCCCAACCATAAAATTATTTCTGTTGCTACTTCATAACTGTCATTTTGCTACTGTTATTTATCGGGCGACCCCCCAAAGGGGTCTCGACCCACAGGTTGAGAACCACTACTTTAGGCCTTTCCGTTGCTCTTAATACTTTCCATACCCCATTTGACCTCCCTCATGCCCTCCTCTTAAAGTCCTCCTGGAAAGATGAGGTTCTCTGCTCCCATAAAGAGTAACATTCTTGGAAATTCACAGAAGCAGTTCTACTTGGTCTTACAGAGTCAGAATTGGTGCATGAGAGTGAGTGAAGTGTGGTGTGGTGTGGTGTGGTCTGGTCTACAACTCCTACATCTACTATGGAGCTTGTCTGCGATTGTCTCACAACCAAATTCACTTGTCCTTTGGCAGGAGCACTGTCACGTGTCTGTGTTACCCACAATACTGGGGGTGTCCCGGAGCCTCAGATCCATGCTTGACATCAGATGAGGGAGCCCTTGGTCTGTACTGGCTCCGTGTTTGTGAACACCGTTGCCAAGATGGCCTTGTTATTACCCAGGAGAGCACTGTTTTATTGTTTCTCTGTTTTGAAAATGATTGCATTTTTACATGCTGCATTGGCAAGTGGTCATCTGAGATTAGAGTGAGTGCTGGCTTTGAAAACAAACTCAGATTGAAATGGAAAAGACTCACTTTGGTGCAGAGAGAGCTGTTTCTATTCCAGCTCTTCCCCTTCCAGCTTGTGCCTTGGACAAGCTGCCTTGTAATCTGCTATCTGCTCCTTTATGAAAGGGGACTCTCCAAGGGGCGTTGGTGGGTTGGTGGGTTACCAGTTGGGCTGCTAACTACAAGGTCAGCAGTTTGAACTTGCCAGTTGATCCCTGGGAGAAAGATGATGCTTTCTGCTTTCATAAAGATTTATAGTCTCAGAAACCCACAGGGGCAAGTCTACTCTGTCCTATAGGATCACTGAGTTAAAATCAACTCGATGACAGTGACTTGGATTTTTTGTTTGAGGGTGATCATACATTTATCGTCTATATGAAGCACATGGGGAGTGAAAGGGAATACTCTAAACATAAATATACTTTAAACATACAATTATATCGCCATTTGAGATATTTATTGACATAAATTGATTTTTTTTCTTTTCTCTTTCTTTTTGGTTTGATTATAAAAAAATGTTCTACTCAAAAATTAAATGTATTTGGTGCTTCCAACCCACCAGCCATTCTGCAGGAGAAAGATGTGGTAGTCTGGTCCTGTAAAGATTACAGCCTTGGAAACCCTAGCCTGAGCTCTCAAAAGAAGCCAAGCCAACTAGATAAATGATAGCTAGATGGTAGGTGGGTAGAGAGAAATGTATATCAAGAAAATGCCTCCCACAGTTGTAGAAATGCATAGGCCCAGTTCAGTTTCCTGTCCTTGGGTCAGGTGTTATGGTGGAGGCTTCTCCTGACTTGAGTAGCTTCAGGGATAATGCACCCAGGATCAGCAGGACGACCAGAGGCTGCAAAGGTACATGCAGCCAAGGTCAGCAAGTCAGGCTTGTGACTGAAGAAATGAATGCATCCAAGGTCAGATGCCATCTGCTGATGGCTCCCAACATTGGCAAGTCACATGTCAGGCAGTTGTCTGAAGTCCAAAGAACCGGAGGTGGACAAGCCTGGTGCAGAATTCAGACCCAGAAAAAAAGTTAACAATCTTCCCTGGCAGCATCCCCTGACCTAGGAATTAGGCCACATCCCTGAAGAAACATCCCTTCAATTAAACAAAAGGGTTGCACTTCACCTCAATCTTCCCTAACTGCTGGCCGGTCACAGCAGATCTCAGCATGGAGTTAGATGGCATCACGGGGGATTACTATATCTCCACTGCCAAACCACAGAGAGCCCGTGCCCTGTGGAGTTGACACAGAACCTGATTGGATTTCACATGTCAGCCATGGATTTCGTCAAAAACTCTACCAAGGGCTCAAGTAGAAAAAAAATTTTTGAAAATGATGATGGCAACATAGCAACATATGTACCAATGTGCTCCACACGATGGATGGATTGTGATAAGAGCTGTACGAGCCCCCAGTAAAATGATTAAAAAGAAACTCTTTTCAAAATAAAATTTCTTCTAAAAAATGAAAATAATATGTAAACAGGAAATACACTAAGCTGGCTAGAATGACAGGCATAAACCAGGTGTAAATCATACGATGCTTCAAAGGATCATACAAAACATATGTATAAAGACTCTAGTTCTGTGCCTGTAACACACTCAGTATCCAAGCAATTGTTCCCCTTTCCCTCCTGAGGCGCTGGATCAGACACACTGACTTAACAGTAAACGAAACCAGTGTCCATGGAGCGGATGGATCCCCTCTCGTTAGAGGCTCCTGCCAGAGTAAAATGTGCGCCAAGGGTTTTCAATATTTTTGGAACTGGGTTGTCAAAGCCCTACTTCCGAGGCACCTCTGGGGGGATTCCAACCACCAGCCTTCCAGTTAGTAGCTGAGAGCGTAACTCTCCGGGCTACCCAGGGCCTCCCAACACGGAAGACTTACCTTTCCAACTCCCATGGCACAAAGAGTGTATCTCCTGCTCTTAAGGTCCTGGCAGCCCAAGGTGTGAGTTGTGGCCATCTCTATTGGGAAAACCCTGATGGCAGGTGTGGCCCTGCCTCTGTGTATTCAGCCAGCTGTCTCCGAGAGCAGCACATGGTGAGGGGGTGACTGTGCATTGGGGGGATGGGGGTTGGGAGGGGCATGGCTGGGAGCCCCGAGCTGCCTCTGGGCAGCCTGCCTGGAAAGCTGAGGGAACCACATTGGGTGCTTCTCCGGCGCCCATGACTACAGTTCAAGGGTGTGCTTCCACCAAACGCCATTAGATAATGGGTTTTTTATAACTTTCATGGCTTCAACAGAACTCATGTGGCTCCCTGGAAATTTGGTGTCCGCAGTTAGCCAGCAGCATACTGGCATTCGGTGCGTGGACACGCGGGCTGGGCCCGGCCCTTTCTGCAGCTCTACACGCGCTGTGCCTTCCTTCCCTGCTTGCTGGGCTCCAGCCTGGGTGCTCTTTGTCCCTGGCCGTTCATCTCACAGAAAGCCCGACAGAGCCGAGGGCTGGGTTTCTGCCAGCTCCTTGCGTGATGGAGAATCCAGGGACCCGCAGCGGGTGAAAAGGAGAAACAAGCCCAGGGAGCAGGGGTGTTGCAGCGACCGGCCTCCGCATGGCCTTGACCGCCTCTTCTTTCCCCAGGTACGTGTACATTCCGGTAGGCGGGTCCCAGCATGGCCTGCTGGGAACACTGTTTTCCACCGCGATGACGTTTGCATTCGTGGGCTATTGGCATGGCGGATATGATGACCTCTGGTGCTGGGCCGCCCTCAACTGGCTGGGAGTCACTGTGGAGAACAGAGTCCGAAGGCTGGTGGCGACGCCGTGCGTCCAGGACCGCTTGGTGAGCCAGGGCCCCTGCTTGGGTGGGGGTGGGGGTGGGCACAGAGCTGGGCTGGGGGAGTAAGTGGCATTGGCTCTTCCTGACGGACAGGTACATGTGTTTGGCGTCCGTGAGCTAGAGAAAAGAGACTGATGCATCCATTCAATGGTTTTAAAATACATATTTGGACAAGAAGTGGCGGTGGGGGATGGGAGCAATTTACACCCATTCTTCTAAACTTAGGAAGCCTAACAGGGCAATGGCAAGCGCTCAGCTGCCAACCAAAAGGTTAGTGATTCGAAGCCAACAGCGGCTCCGTGGAGAAAGACTGGGCAGGTTGCTTCGGTAAAATTTACGGTCTTGCAGACTCTAGCGCTGACCGACTCTACCCTACCGGTCACTACGAGTCAGGACTGACTCGATGGCAGCGGCTTTTAAAAAGTATATTCCGTGTGTGTGTGTGTGTGTGTGTGTGTGTGTGTGTGTGTAGTCATCTGTACAGATGGTTATTCTAATATCGCCTTGGGACTACCTGACCATGCCACTCAACCCATTTATAGGCACCCTTTTGAATGTCTATGTAACTTTCTACTGTGCAGATATGCCATCATTTAGTTCATGTGTTGTTAGTTGTCCTCATGCGTGTTCCAACTCACTGCGACTTCCAGCACGATGCCATCTTCGTGATCACCCAGATGCACGAGTCTGTTCTATTCCCGATTGGGAAGCCCTGGGCTTCCCTCTGGTTAGCTGACCTTCTACCAACCGCAATATCCTGTTCTAGCCATTGGATTTTTCTACCAGCATACCCAACTATGTGAGCCAAAGCCTGCTCATCCTCCCTTCTAAGGAGCCTGCTGGTTGTATTTCTTCTAAGACCAGTTTGTTTGTTCTTCTGGTATTCTGCAATAGATTCAGTATTCGTTACCAACACCACAGTTCGAATGCTTCATTGTTCTACTTCCTTTTTCCTTGCCCAACTTTCTCTCGTACATGTGAGGCAGCGGAAAAGACCAGGGCGTGGATGGGCACATCTTAATAAAGTGACCTCTTTGGCTTTTGAAACAGTAGAGAGGTCTTTTTAAAAAAAATCATTTTATTAGGGACTCATACAACTCTTATCACAATCTATACACACATCAATTGTGTAAAGCACATTTGTATATCATTCTCAAAACATTTTCTCTCCACTTAAGCCCCTGGCGTTAGGTCCTTATTTTTCCCCTCCCTCCCCACTCCCCCCTCCCTCATGAACCCTTGATAATTTATAAATTGTTATTTTGTCATATCTTGCCCTGTCTGACGTCACAATCCATACATACATCAATTGTGTAAAGTGCA